TTTCCCTGTTAAAATATATATGAAAAGTTCTTTCAAATGAAAGTAAAGGAATTGTGATGAAAGAAATTTTTTTTATTTTAGTGGATTATTTATTGAAACTGAGGCATTTAAAATTGGTTTTGAATTTAAAATTAATTTGAAATATTATTTGAATGTGAGTTCATACTAGGAATCTAACTAAAGTGTTCAAATATTTTGCATCTCTAGTTCACTTTCATTAATGTCCTCCCCCAAAATTTTTTATAGTGAAACTCCCTTCTCCTTCATATGTTCTTAATACTATTGATGATTTCCTCCATCAATATCCTATAATGAGTCCTTCTCCCCCAACATTGAGCACTTCTCCTTCACAAGCTGTCAATGTTATTGCCATCTTATACTTCACAAATTTTAAGTCTCCTACATCTTCTACCAATAAGTTCTTATTGCAAACATCTCTTCTCATTCACATGTCATCAATCTCATCAAATCCTTCAACAAATCTCATTCCAAATCCTTTCTTTTTCAAATGTCTTTAATCTCATTAATGAATTCTCTCAACCAGCTCACTATAAAATCATCAATCATTCACACTCTGCCAAACATGAAAATACCCTACCCAACAAACTGCTCATATGAAGTTGTCTTCTTTTTAGTTCACATTGATGCTTTCTAATAACGAGCACTCATGCAAACAAGAAGTTATGAATGCATGACATGTGAATAATTAAGCTTTACACCAGGTTCTAACCTAAATAAAATATAATTTAAATCTACTAGTGATCTTTTTCATGCATCTCCACAATTACACCTCTGCAAACAAGAAAATTTTGTTGGATATTTTATTTTGATACCATATTCTAACTAACTTTGAACTATATTCAAGTCACATTCAAATCTAAATATCTCTGGATCAATTTCAATTACGTTGACTTCAGAAATACTCTATAAATGCAAGCACATAACCCTCATTAAAATTAATATTGTTTTAAGAAAAATTCAATATAATTATTAAAGAAAAAAATAGCATAGATGTTTATCTAATTATGAGCTTCGTGTGTCATTTATTTTCTTAGCCAAAACACAAATTAACATTTTATAACAATAGCTCAATTTTATTTTAATGGATATTTATAATCCTAAATCTTAAAATTTAAGAGGTGAAAAATTAAATATTTTTGCATTTAGAGGATACTTGCATCTTAACACCTCTCTTAAACTCGACCTTGTATAATTAAACAATAAAATTGTAATATATATGCTTCATAATATACATATATGAACAAATATGGTCACTTTATTTTTTTTCTTGAGAAATATGCATGTGTGCTCCTTTAAAACCAAATTACACCTAATGGGGTATAATCACTTGTATTTACATAGTTAAATTCCTAGAAAATGGTTTAAACATGTTAAAACCATCGGTTATAAGCAATTCACGTAATGTAATATCACGAAAACAACTATCTTCATTGAGGAATATGAAAAACATTTATAAGATCAAATATAGATGGAGAAGTAGATTTATGAACTCATTAGAGGTAAACACTGATGGGGCTAGCATTATATATGGGGTGTTTGTTCATATATGGGGATACTTTTCTAAATTCATATTTTTATGGAGATATCAAAATTTTTATAGGGAAAAAAATTTTATGGGGATATTTTTTCATATGCGGGGATATTTCTTCATAGGATATTTCTTCATATATGGGGAAATCAATATTTTTATGATTAAGCTAACTAGAAAAAGTATTGATACGACATAAAATATGTGAAGGAGAAGATGGCTTCCCAACAAAAGCTCATTAGGAGAAGACATATATGAGACTGGTGACATAAGAATGAGAAGAGGGTTTGCATTGAGCTCTCATTGGAAAAGGCAAATGTCGGATTGGCAAAGTGTTGAGGATAGTTGATAGGAGATTGCAGGGGGAAGGCATCTAAGATATCGAAACCATCTAAATGAGACGAGGAGTTGCCTATGGGAGATTGCAAGGGAAAGGCATATAGGGGATATACACCAAGTGAATGAAAAGAGGGGCGCACTACGGATGGTTTCTAGAAGAAGGAATCTACAAATTCGATGACACGTTAAAAAGAAAATGGTTCATGCTAGAAGAAGGATATGTTGAAACTCAATTCAAATAAAGAGGGCTCAAACAAAATATGAGTCGGAAGTATGGGTGGGCATTCCATTGATTAGGATGGAATGGGTTCTAAATAGGTCAAATTGATTTTAATTGAAATCCAATTTTTGAAAAGCGAAACCAATCAAATTTTGACAAAATCACAGACCAAATTAAATTTTAATTTGTCAGTTATGCACAAATCAAAATTTACACAAATCAAATTTTAATTGTTTGTTGGAGTTTGGTTATGAACAAAATTTATGATTTATGAATTACATCTTACATGTACAATATCAATTTAATTTCATGAATTATTTCACTATTTCAATTAAATTTTGCATATAATAAAAATTAATTTTTTTTTCATGTTGTTCAACATGAAATAAAAATATAATAATATTTTAAATTTTTTTATTTATTTATTTAGTTTGTTCAGTTAAATAAAAACTAAAACCGAACCAATATTCAAAAACTGAATATTAAATTTTAAAAAATAAAAACTTAAAATGCAATTTTGAGACCAGACCGAATCAACCAAACTTGTTAGGTTTGGTTCGATTATTCAATTTTGACAAAATAATGCACAACCCTACTTACAACGATGAACCACAAGTTCATATATGAATTTGAATAAATGTTTGAACTAAGTTAGAGCTTTAATTTGAACTCATTCGTATTCAATCTACTCAATTGGGAGCGCTTTGACTTTAAAAATTAATCGTCGAATAAAAAGCTTTATCTCTTGTTGGGAGAGATTTCACCCAAAAAATTGTATTAAAATATTTTTGTCAAAAAAAAAATTCGTAGCAGGTGTGCTCATCATTTTACATGTTTTATGAGGAATATTTAGGCCTCTTTGGTTCCATTGCCGGTCAGATCGGCCGCCTACTATCATACCCATGAGACTCGTTGCCACTAGTCAATAGTTGTAGTTGTAGCCCACCACCCGCCACCCCCTTCCCATAGACCGCCACAACCAACTACTAGCCACCAACCATCACCGCCTCCACTATTGACCGTCATCCATCACTACCACCCATAGCCCATTGTAGCATCACCAAACATTGGTCGCCATTGCAGTTATCCTCCAATAAATTTTATATTCAATTTCATAGCATTTTATACTCAAATCATATCAAAATATATGTAATAAAGTACATTATCAATTTAGAAATATAATCTAAGTAATATTTTAATGCGATTTAAAGTTTGAAAAAAAAAATTGATATAAGAAAATTAAATATCTAAAAATTCAATGGCACACATTTAAGTCCACCATTTTTATTTCAAACAAATGCAATGGCAAATTTTATACATATTTTATATATATATATATATATATATATATATATATATATATATTAGAAAAATATGAAATCAAATCGATCCCGTATTTTTAGCTTAAGCAATTTAGGAAACAAATACCTTGATATAG